GCGGGGGGACCCGGAGGAGAGAGCGAGTGTCCGGCCCGGGCCGACTGCCTTCGTGGGGCACCCCCAGCCCTGAGACGCCCCCCGCCTGCTGCCATGTGCCTCCGTGGAGACCCCGCGTGTTTCCAAACTTTCTCCCAGCCGGTTCGGCTCTGAGTCGCGTTTCGGAGTGGTGTCTCCCCAGGGACAGGGGACCCAGGGCTTCGGCGGGCTGCAGACTGTCGGCTCCTCTCGGCAGGACTCCGAGGTGAGGAGAGCCCGCGCCTTCCCTTCTCCCCGTTCTTCTTCTCTGGGTTCCTCCATTCTTTCCCGGGGAGCTGAGCGCTCTGACCCCGGGTACAGCCGGGAGGGCCGGGCCGGGAGAGGGAGGGCGATCCGCAGTTCCACAAGGTGGCGGGGAGGGGAAGGCAGGGGAGGGCCGGGAGGTTCACGTAGAGATTTGGAAACTGCTTGCGGGGACTGCACTGTTGTTGCCAATGCTGGGCAGTGATTGCGGTTTTTCTCGCCCCCCCCTCCACCCTCTTTTAAAATCGTTTTTAAAGAGTTCTTTCCCTGGGACTGCAGTCCTCATCTGCCCTCCCCAGCCCGCGATCGGGCAAGAAGCTGAGTTCGACCCGTGGAGCCACCGCTTTTTCCAAAACGGTTTATCTTTGGTCGGATTTCTTCAAAAGAAAACCCAACAGGTTGCCAGCCCAGGCGCTGCGCACCCGTGGGCGCGGGAAGTTGCGCTCGGCCGTGCTGCCGGCGCAGACCCAGCTGCGGGAAGCGAGAGGAGGGACCAGGGCGATGGCTCGGCCTGACCCGTCCGCACCGCCCCCGCTGCTGTTGCTGCTCCTGGCACAGCTGGCCGGCCGGGCGGCGGCCGCCTCCAAGGCCCCTGTGTGCCAAGAGATCACGGTGCCCATGTGCCGAGGCATCGGCTACAACCTGACGCACATGCCCAACCAGTTCAACCACGACACGCAGGACGAGGCGGGCCTGGAGGTGCACCAGTTTTGGCCGCTGGTGGAGATCCACTGTTCGCCGGACCTTCTCTTCTTCCTGTGCTCCATGTACACGCCCATCTGCCTGCCGGACTACCACAAGCCGCTGCCGCCCTGCCGCTCCGTGTGCGAGCGTGCCAAGGCCGGCTGCTCGCCGCTCATGCGCCAGTATGGCTTCGCCTGGCCCGAGCGCATGAGCTGCGACCGCCTCCCGGTGCTGGGCCGGGATGCCGAGGTCCTGTGTATGGATTACAACCGCAGCGAGGCCACCACGGCGCCGCCCAGGGCCATCCCCGCCAAGCCCACGCGCTCAGGCCCGCTCGGGATGCCCGCCTCGGCGGGTGAGTGTGCCGCCGGGGGCCCATCGGTGTGCAAGTGCCGCAAGCCCTTTGTGCCCATCCTGAAGGAGTCCCACCCGCTGTACAACAAGGTGCGGACCGGCCAGGTGGCCAACTGCGCGGTGCCCTGCTATCAGCCGTCTTTCAGCCCCGACGAGCGCACGTTCGCCACCTTCTGGATCGGCCTGTGGTCGGTGCTGTGCTTCATCTCCACCTCCACCACGGTGGCCACCTTCCTCATCGACATGGAGCGCTTCCGCTACCCTGAGCGCCCCATCATCTTCCTGTCTGCCTGTTACCTGTGCGTGTCCCTGGGCTTCCTGGTACGCCTGGTGGTGGGCCACGCTAGTGTGGCGTGCAGCCGCGAGCACAGCCACATCCACTACGAGACCACTGGCCCGGCGCTCTGCACCGTCGTCTTCCTGCTGGTCTATTTCTTCGGCATGGCCAGCTCCATCTGGTGGGTCATCCTGTCGCTCACCTGGTTCTTGGCGGCTGGCATGAAGTGGGGCAACGAGGCCATCGCGGGCTACGCACAGTACTTCCACCTGGCCGCGTGGCTCATCCCTAGTGTCAAGTCCATCACGGCCTTGGCCCTGAGCTCTGTGGACGGGGACCCAGTGGCTGGCATCTGCTACGTGGGCAACCAGAACCTGAACTCGCTGCGCGGCTTCGTCCTGGGCCCGCTGGTGCTTTACCTGCTGGTGGGCACGCTCTTCCTGCTGGCGGGCTTCGTGTCCCTCTTCCGCATCCGCAGCGTCATCAAGCAGGGCGGCACCAAGACGGACAAGCTGGAGAAGCTCATGATCCGCATCGGCGTCTTCACGCTGCTCTACACGGTGCCCGCCAGCATCGTGGTGGCCTGCTACCTGTATGAGCAGCACTACCGGGAGAGCTGGGAGGCGGCGCTCACCTGCGCGTGCCCGGGCCCCGACGGTGGCCAGCCGCGCGCCAAGCCCGAGTACTGGGTGCTCATGCTGAAGTACTTCATGTGCCTTGTCGTGGGCATCACGTCGGGCGTCTGGATCTGGTCCGGCAAGACGGTGGAGTCGTGGCGGCGCTTCACCAGCCGCTGCTGCTGCCGCCCACGGCGGGGCCACAAGAGCGGCGGCGCCACTGCCGCGGGGGACTACGCCGAGGCCACCGCCGCGCTCACGGGCAGGACCGCGCCCCCGGGGCCCGCCGTTGCTTACCACAAGCAGGTGTCTCTGTCGCACGTGTAGAAGCCCCGGCTGACCGACTGGCCAGGGCGTTGGCTGGGAGCGCGGGCTGGGGGGTGTTGTTTGGTCGCATTGCCAAGGTCACTTCCGTTTACTTTCTCGGTGCAGAATGCAGCCTCTTGGGGCAACTTGGAGAGGGGGAGGAGAACCTGTCCCAGGACTTCGCAAAAGGGGCTCAGCCCACGTGTATTCTATTTTGCGTTTCTTTACCCGCCTTCTTTTAAGGGAACCTTGTTTTTTTAATTTATATATATATATATTTCCTTTTTTTTTTTTTTGCTTAAATTTTAACTGTTGCATTTTGGCAACAAAATTTACCTATGCTTTGGGGGCTTTACAATCCTGTGGTTGGCTTTATAATGAAGTTCCACTTGGTTCAGGTTTCTTTGAACTGTGTGCTCTGAAGAGGGAAATATAGATTTCCTATATCTGTGTCTTTTAAAAATTTTTTATTTTAATGTGAACAGTGAAAGTTGGGGTGGCCACTACTGGGAAGTTGGTGGGTGTGCGTTCTCAGCTGGTGTTTCCCGACATTCCTTTCTGTGCCCATTGATGTTCTAGGGTCAGCTGCTTTTTCCTGCTGATCCTGAAAGTTCACAGAAGGCCCAAGTCTCAACCAGAAGGGACCCATAGTGGGAAGCCTTCCAAAGGTGGCCAGGTGAGGGAGTGTGGAGCCAAGGCCGTCAGTTCTCTGTAGTCCTTGTCACCATCCTTATTTTTCACCAGCATCCGTGTTGTTTTGAACAGGTTCGAGGTAGCCTCATAGAGAGAGAGGGCCCAGTATAAATATTGGTGTAGCGGACACACCAGGGCCGCATCAGGCTGAGATTGCATTTTAGATGGGAGAGGTGGCAGTATTTGCCCAAAAAGGTGGTGGTGGTGGTGGTGGTGGTGGGGGGGGTTCTTAATAAGTTTGCAATCCTCTCTCCCTCTCTCAAAAATTTTATTTTGAAAGGAACTTGCAGTGAACTTACTTTTGGTGAAAGTAAACCCACTCCCTACACTTCTGGAAATACTTGGTGACAGTTACTAAAACAGCTTTTTTAAATTTAAGGACTCAAAAAAAAAAAAAAAAACCCCTGCTAATATAACCCCAGTAATGAAGTAAATTTCCAACACTTCTCTTATCTGCTCCACCCCCACCCCACCTCCTTTATCATGTTAAACAGTCGTTTTGCTTTTCTTATTCCTTCTCTCCTGGAGAGCCCAGATTAGAAGCCACACCCACCTTGGAAGGAGGTGCTTAAGCTGAGGAAGGGAGGCCTGTGCCCCACCTGTGAGCAAACACTGGCAGCCCAGAGGGAAAATAGTGTCCCTGGACTTTGGACTAGCTTATAGGCAAGACAGGGCTCCCTGCGGCCTCTGGAAACAAGTGAGACGCCTAATTCTGGCATAGCTTTCGTTTTTTTAAACAGATCGGTGTAATGCCCTCCCCTACCCCAATAGTTTTCTTAGGCTCCCAAAGAAAGCCTGCATACTGACCATTCTCTCTCTGTCTCTCTCTCCCTCTCATACACACACACACCTCTTTGCTATTAGCATATTCTATTTACTTTCTGGATTTCCTGAACCATTCCAGCATTCCTCTCTGAGTGCTTATATCTTGATGAACATACACACAGAGATTTCTTGGCTGTTGGAAAATCCTGTTGGCTTTCCTAATGTGCTTCACCATTCATTTCGGGTGGAGTGGAGGCCACTACTGAGGAACAGGGGTAACCGACCAGTGTGATTTCATCACCAGAACTAAGTAGGAGCTGAATTTGGGGACAAAAAAATGCCAGAGCAAATTAGAATTGGAGAGAGCCTCCTTAGGTAGGAAAACAGCCGAACTCTAGCCAGTGACACATTATTTATACCAAAGCTGGCAACACACAATTTAAGCCCAGATCAATTTTTACTTGTGGATACTAAGTAGATAACACTCGGAGTTCCCATTGGTAATGTAAACATTAGCTGATGGCCGGAAGCCTGGTAATCTGATTTTTAAGGACTCTCAAAAGCTGTTCACCTGTGTAAAAACGCAGCTCTTTCACACGCTTAGCCTCTGGTTCTAAGTTAAAATTTCAGTGGATTCCACAAAACCCAGTCCACTTTGCTACACAAGACTCTGCATGTCGTACTCTAACTTGCCAGAGGCTTCTTCCAGGGACCTTCTAGTAGCTACAGACCCGGGGCTAATTTTTCTGTTCTTTTCAAAGGAGGACTCTTCTAATCACCTGATTCATTCTCACATTTAGTGCCTCTTCCTGCCTAGCTCTGGCCTCCCCTCCTCCATCTAAAAGCTTTGAGATGAAGTAGACGAAAATATTTATTTCTGCACTTAGAAGTTGGGTTACTTCTATTAACAATGTGCCAAACCTGTGATAGGAGCCCTGGTGGTTACGGGTTGGGCTGTGATTCTCCAGGTCAGCAGTTCAAAACCACCAGCCACTCCACAGGAGAAAGTCGGGGCTTTCTACTCCCGTAGAGAGTCTGAAACCCACAGGGGCATCTCCACCCTGCCCTATAGGGTCACTATGAGTCAGCATCTTCTGGAAGGCAGTGCATGAGGGAAGCCTGTGCTACACTGAAGAATTCAAGCTGGTTAAAGGATGCTAAGGTCTAAGTCTCCATGTCCCCACCCCTGCTCTTTGTCTCTTCTCCCTCCTCCCCCTAAAAGGGACAAAACTCAAATGTCCACCTGCTTCCCTAAAGCCTGTCAACAGCCCCTCCCCCTGCCCAGGTCCTCTTTCCTCTGGAGCACTGTTTTCCCCGGATTTGCATATTCACTTAAGGAAAAGCAATCCTCACTCTTGAAACCAGGGGTAGCATAGTGACTTCCTTTCTCCAGCGCTGGCTCTGCCGAGCTTGGGAGGTAGGACCCGCTTTAGTCCCCTGGATCCTGAAGGCTACCCTTTCCCCAGTCCAGCCTGACACCCCCTCTCGCCTCACAGATGTGGCGTGAGGATTTCCCTAGGTTGTCCAAAGGAACTAATCAGCTGCCCAGGTGGAGGAAGTCTTTTTCATTGAATCCAATTTACCTGTTCACATCCTGAAATGGCCTGACTTGGCATGGAGTCCTTTTTCGTGGTGCCTTATTATACTGGTTTCAAGGTTCAAATCTCTGTCCTGCTTTCATACTGTGACTGTTTCCAGTGACCAGGGCCTGTGTGTGCATGTTTGCGACTGTGCGAGTGTACAAGCGTATGGAGTGTGCCCTAGCACGGCTTCAGAGCCGGCATTCATTAGGCTGAGTTCTGGGCCAGGACCACCTTAGGCTTGACACCAGCTTCCAGGAGCTCAGGAACAACTCTCCTGCTCTCACACCAACCCTTCCAAGCAGCAGCTGGGACCTGAGCTCTTAAGCACAGCAGGGGAACCCAGCAGCTCGGAAATGGACTGCCACCCTGCTCGAGGCTGTTTTCCCTTTTGTATTCTGCAGAAAGATCCTGGGGATGGGACGTGGGGGGCTGGGACACAAGACCAAATCACTGCTTCTTACCACAGAACGTGGCACACTGGCCCGAGAACATCCCAGACGGCAGATGCGAGGAGTGGCTGAAAATGGCCTTCTTTCTTGCCTGCTCTTGCCCAGAGTCCCATTTGCAGTGGGATGTCCGAAAGCAAACGCTACCTAGAAGTGAGATGGGTGAGGGGCCAGGGCTGGGCAGCATGTAAGTGAAGGAGGAACCTGAGCCCCAGGCTCTCCAAGCTGCCGGAGCAACTCGGTGTCCATGATGGGATTCCACCCAGGATAATGTCGGTGGTACGCTATTTTTAAGACAATGTTACTTTATGGTGTTACACATACTGTATGTATAGTGTGTATGTTTTGTGGGTGTATATACATAATATATATTATATATATGAGAGATTTAGTGACTTTTGATACGGGTTTGGTGCAGGTGAATTCATTACTGAGCCAAATGAGGCACATACCAAGTCAGTCGTGGGAATCCAGGGCTTTCAGTCATTTTTATGGTTTCAAGGTAATGGGCTTAGTGCCTGCCCCCGAGCACCATCACGCCAGACCAAGAACTCACACGAGAGCCGGCAGCGCTGTACTGGCAGACAATCAACTTGCACCTATCCATGCTTACTGGCAGGTGATTCTAACCCTGAATCCAAGGCATTAACCAGCGGAGACCCAGAGCAGCTCGGGGAAGGGGAAGGAGTGTTTGGTTTGGTTTTCTTCCTGGAAGTCCGTAGAATAACAGTTGTGTGTGGTTATGTTAGTCTCAAGATACTTTATTACTTTGTATGATATTTGTGGAAAGGTAAAATGATGGTTTCAGATTTTTTTATCAAATATGGAGATTAGCTATTTATGAAAAACAAAGAAATGTCTATTTTTGTTTCTTTGTTCCCGATTAATGTAGCTATCATCTTAAAGTGCATTAAAGCAACGATAAAGAAAACAAAAGGATCTTCTTCTCTTCCTGCTTGGGCGGAGGGACACCCGCGCTCTCTAAGTGCATCCGAGGAGCTAGGTGGCCTCGAGCCTGACATCAGATTCCTCAAGTGTGCCTGCAACAGTCAGGGCAGCGCTCTTAGAAAAAGAAAAGCACACGCCCATCACTTCACTAACAAGTACGCAAGGTGGGTTTCTCCAACGGCCGTCTTGACACACACGAAGCAAGGAAGGGAAGTCCCGAGCAAAGACGGCGCGGTGAGACTGCCCCCTTTGCAAGCCCTCAGCCGGGGCTGGCATTGCACCTGTCGGAGGAGAGATGCTCTTCTTCCTGTCTGTCGGCTGGGGAGCGGGGCGCAGTGACGCCCCCCAAACCATCACAAAAATGAGAAGTACAACTTCCTGACAAGCGTTCCGTGCAAGTCAGGGAGCCCCAGAGAGAAGTTCCCTTTCAGAGTAGCTCTGAGCATCTGGCCAGATGCTTGGGTCCAGACACAATTGTGGACGTTAGGTGGTCCCTGATTCCATTCCAAGGAGTCCACTGCAGAGCGCTTCTGACACTTAAGTCTAATGCCCCCCCCCCATGATTTCATTAGTATTTCCTTTTATTATCAGTTATCTTTAAAGATCAGAACCGTGACTATCTGCTAGTGAACACCTGAGAATGGTAACAGCAAATCAGGAGCTGCAACAAGGTAAGTAGCACATGTCAATACTGATAAGCTGCAACGAAAAAAAAAAGATGGTTAAGCGATGAAGCGAGCGAGGTTCTTCAGAACTCCATTTGGTCGTAAACTGAGGACTGACCTCCACTTTCTTTTGGCTGCCACTTTGGCAAAATGCAGATTAGCCACTCAGCTACGAAACACCTCCTGTAAATGTCTGTCTAGTGTCCTGAGACATTTCTGTCCTGAGGCAAAAGTATGCAGACGAACATGGATAATGTGCTTAATGTCGTGTTGTGGGAGCTAAGACAAAGCCCTTAAGAGGTAACTAACAGTATGAGAGAGTAGGTCATTAAATGTCAGAGTGAGC